TATTGTGATAAGTCCATTTTCGGGTCCGCAGGCACTTAATTTCTAACGTACTGATCGAACACAACAAGCGGCCATGTTGTCTTTATTACACACACAACAACAACCACCCCGAGGGGGGTGGTAACGAAAGTAACACATTTCGTTCTAACAGGGAGGTACACGGTTTCGGCTTTCGCTACAATATTTAAACAAGTTGAGTGCAACTAGCCCTCAGAATAGGCGTTATTCATCTATTTATTCATTTCTATTACTTATTTCTTTATCTGTATACTTATTCACCATTTAGTTATGTATTTTCTTTTACTCAAAATTCAAAACCGCTTAAATCAAGTGAAATCGGTAAAATAATGACACCAGGAGCAAACAACACACGTATGGAACAAGGTAAGCCATTTTCATTTAATATTTTCACTTTAAACTTTCTCTGTGGATATCTTCTAGAAAATCCCATACAAATCCTTATAAATATGCAAATTGTGTTCCTTGTGTGGTTCTCAAAGAGAGCTTGGGTAGCCTGTGGTTCCAACAGATTCCAAGCGCTTCTTTTCCTTATTCCGTGCATTGAAATATCCAGTTGCATTTGTCTCCTTGACACCGCGTGTTTGAAAAACAGCAGTTAGGATTTGCGATAACACAATCTGTTCTTTCTTTTGGACTACATTGGCTGGGATCACTACACCCTTTGTTAAAGATCTTCGTCTCGGAATCGCCTACAGAGCAGGTGAAAGTGCCAGTGACGCATTATCGTGAACCTGTGCATGAAATTGGTGTTCTGTTTGAGTCGCAGTCTTCCCATAATTTCTCGCTCTTGCAAGTTTAACAGTTGAAGCAATCTTGCAAAGTGAGCACAGAATATGAGCATAGGGATCAGACAAGATGCAAGCAACTGCGGTTCTTGTTGAACAGGGTATTCATGAATATGATGGATGCGACAGGTTGTCTATTTTGCATGTGCATGCATATCTTTTGCGGCACTACCTTGTAGCATCATTGTAAAACCTTTATTTTTGTTCATTGCATACAGAAGTGTGCTATATTTGTAATTTGGTTCAGTGAAATTGTAAATTGGCCACCATAAAGAGTTAAAACTGCTGATGTTTCGAGCCTTAGCCCTTCGCTCTGACGAAGGGCTAACGCTCGAAATGTCAGCTTTTTAACTCTTTACGGTGGCCAATTTACAATTTCAACTTAGTTGATATTACCAAATTACCCTGTTACTCCCACCGACGCAGCACCACAGTTTCTTTAGAAACTTATACCCTTTTATTCATTTGCAATATATATGTAGCCATGTGTAGTCTCAGACTACTTATTTCTCGTCAACTTCTCAGTTCAAACTGACCCTCAGCTCATTTCATCTGTCCGTAAGTGAGATGGAGCAGTAATCTTGAATTTTACAGGCGGTGCCGGTCGGCAAAATTGGCATTTTGCGAGCATAATATGACCCAAGCCTGTCCTCCGCGCAAACACGTCCCAGTGAGTTGTGTTACCTTGGCAGGGAACCTGGTGCTGACACCTTGAGACGGTGTACATGAATAAGTTATCGAAGTTGTTGCATTCAAGATGGTGGACGAAGCAACAAAGAAAACAGTGGCATCTATTCCTACTTTAAAAACCAAAGCTGGTCCTCGGGATGGCGATCCGTGGGTTCAGAGGTTAAAAGAGGAATATATGAGCTTAATTAAGGTATGTTACTTCGAATTATTTGCTTCAAGTTTGGAGAAGTCGTTTAGGAAAAACTCAAGCTGAAAATATTTGTCACTGTGTGTTCGCATACGTGTAATTCTGGAAGAAATTGTTATTGTTTCAGTATGTAAGTAACAACAAAGAAGCAGACAATGACTGGTTCAGGCTGGAATCAAATAAAGAGGGGACAAGGTATTCTTTTGTGGTTTGGCGAAAGTTATGTTGATGATGATGTTGGCAGTGATCATTCTTTCGATAGAGTAGTCTGAAATTTGTCGGAGTGAGTAGAGTCCTGAGAAGGTCGGTTGTCCACCCTGGACGATTAAACTACACTATCACATGTTACCCTCGGGTAACCACTCTTTCGTTGATTAAATTTGATTTTTCTCATGTACCACAGACTGCTTATTTTTTGTTTGTTTGTTTTTTTAACAGATTATGGTTTGTAATTTTTTTAGCCTTTTGTAGCTTCTTTTGGTCAAAGAGTTCATGAATTTATTTTTATTTATATTTATTTTGTAGATGGTTTGGTAAGTGCTGGTATGTCCACAACCTTTTGAAGTATGAATTTGACATAGAGTTTGATGTAAGTTTAACCCACAAAATTATAGCTTTGAAATAAAAGCTAGCGCTAAGAAGTCACAACGTTTCGACCTCTCTGAGGTCATTTTCAAGTGAGTAAGTTTTCCAAATCAGCATAAATATGTTGAAGCAAGTTGAAGACGATAAAATGTGGCGAACGCTAAAATATGTGAAAAAGTGTAAACAATATACAATGGAAGAGAATAAAAGAATAAAATGATCGTAGCATGAATTGTTCTAAACAAATAGTTCGTGCTACGATTATTTTGTTATTTTATTATTTTATTCTCTTCCATTATATATTGTTTATACTTTTTCACATATTTTAGCGTTTGCCACATTTTATCGTCGTCAACTTGCTTCAACATATTTATGCTGATTTGGAAAACTTACTCACTTGAAAATGACCTGAGAGAGGTCAAAACGTCATGACTTCTTAGTGCTAGCTTTTATTTCAAAGTCGATTTCTAAGAAACTACTTATTAAAATTCTAACTACAATAATTATTCTCTTTTTATCTAAAAGGCACTTCCAATGCTTATTGATGGTATCTGGTCAATTTGCCACCACAACGAACTCACCACCACAAAACTTGCCGCCACTCAAAGTGAAATCACCACCAGTGGCAATTTGATTTAAACGTTATGTGTAGTCTCTTGTGTGAAACTTACATCAAATGAAAGCTAAGATGCAGTCATGTACTGTGAAAAGGGGAAGGGACTCAGAAGTTAAGTGTGGCATCTCATTAATGGAACATTAAATGAAATAAAACATGTTGATATCATGAAGATTATATCTTATTAACCAAGTGCAAGGGCGGAACTGGGGGAATATCAGCCCGAGGTCTTGACAGTACGGACTGAGCGCAGCACAGCTCGGTCCGTACAAAAAAGACTGAGGGCCAATATTCTTCCAGTACGGTCCTGAGCAAGCTTGGTTAATAAGAGATTCATTATACGACTGAAGTTCAAAGGGACACAAGTGCGGTATCATTCGGGACCATTCGGGACAGTGCCGGGTCCAATACTGAGAGAATATTGACTGGCAATAGAGCATTTTGATTGGTTGATTTTAGTTAATGGCCCTCTGACTTCCCAAGTCGTGTAATGAGATTAGTTAGCAGACAGCGAAACCAGAGTGAAATTTTCCAAGTGATAGATTACCACCGATATGAATGAAGTCAATGGAAACTTCATCCTACAAATGCTAAGCAGTCGAAGTCAATTGCAAAATTAAAAGGGAGTACAAATACAGCAGAGTTTACTCAAACAGAGTTTGGCATCCTTTCTTTGTTTGGTAAATCCTTTGTTTCAAGCACAAATCAAATCTAATGCAACATATACAACAGGTTAGATCTTGAAGTTTATTTATCTTTTAGTTTTTATTATGCAAAAGTAAGAGTGCGTGCAAACATGGTAAAATTAGGCAGAAAGCTACTTGGTATCCTCTGGGAGATCCTAAAGGGCAAATGGATCAAACTTAGAATTCATAAGAATAATAAGTAGCATGTCAGTGCTGTTCCTTCTGCATTCATTAATTCATTAGAACAAAGAGTTTACCAAACAAAGAAAGGATGCCAAAGTCTGTTTAAGTAGACTTTGCTGTAGTTCTAAGGGCTTTTAATTTCACAATATACTTGGACCTCTTGGCATTTAAGTAAGGTAAGTTTCATATGATTTCATTTATATCAGCAGAAATCACGTGGCGAAAATCACTTGGTGAATGTCACTCTGTTTTGCTGTTTGCAAACTGATCATGATCTTCGGAATATCAAAATGTTTTATTTTCTTTAACGTTCCATTACTGAGATGCTACAGCTTTCCCTTTTGGCAATATACTGCAACATCTTATCAAATTGTCACCAGAGGCGATTTCAGTGGTGGCAAGTTTTGTGGTGGCAAATTGGCCATAACCTCTCTTGGATAACAATAGATCTTACCCATATGCTGTCCTCTTTTTAAAAATCATCCCCTCACTAGGGAATCATGTATGAGGCCTCTCATTCAAAGGTCCAACTGATTGGAATACTTCAATTTGAACCAAGTTGAACAAGTATATTCCTAAGGCTTATTTTAGTGATTTTTCTTATGCTTTTCTGATTATATGAAAGAAGGGAAAAACTAAAAGCACTACAATTAATTTGAAAAAAACCATCAGTTGTGTTAAACAGCTAACTTGAAAAACAGAAAAAAATTTTTGAGCTAATTTTAACATCAATATGTGGCTAAAAATGTCAGAAAAATATGCTGCAGAATGCTGAAAATCATGTCTCAGAGAGTTCCAAATCTCAATTTTTTCCTGAGGGAACATGCTCGTAGACCTCACTAGATATATCTTATTAACCAAGCGTGAGGGCCGTACTGGGAGAATATCGGCCCGAGGTCTTGACATTAAGGACCGAGCGCAGTGAGGTCCATACAAAAAAGACCGAGGGTGGATATTCTTCCAGTACGGTCCCGAGCAAGCTTGGTTAATAAGAGATTTATTATACGACTGAAGTTCAAAGCGACTCAAGTGCGGTACCACTCGGGACAATTCAGGACATTGCCCAGTCCAATACCGAGAGAATATTGACCGGCAATAGAACATTTTGATTGGTTGATTTTAGTTATTGGCCCTCTGACTGCCCGAGTCGTGTAATAAGAGGGTTTATTGCTGTGTAGACATAATTCAATTCAGTTGCCTCCTCAGTTCAGATCCTACACCAATTACATTTTCTGACGATGAATTTAAATTGTGTGATAAAGCCCCTTTCATAAATTATGATTTTGCTGGTTCCTTTACCAGATACCTATTACTTATCCTACAACTGCACCAGAGATTGCTCTTCCAGAACTTGATGGTAAAACTGCTAAAATGTACAGGTAAAAATGTTGATTTTGTCATATCCGTACTTTGAAAAGGTAAATAGAACCACTCTTATCTCAATTACACTCATCTATACCTACTCTTTGTTACAGGGGAGGAAAAATTTGTATGACAGATCACTTTAAACCTCTCTGGGGAAGAAATGTTCCTAAATTTGGAATAGCACATGCCATGGCTCTTGGAGTACGTACCTTAGACTAGAGCAAAGGCATCCATTTATTTACAAAGATATAGATTGAAACAATCTCTAACTGCTCCAGGGGTTTAATTATGATGTTTCACATTAGCCTTTTTCAGGTGGAACTTGTGGTAAAACTCTTATAAAAAAAAAATTCCCTTATACCCTCCTGCAGAAGGCCAAGGGCTGAAACTGGTAATTCAACAGCTGGAATTGTTATTCAAAGCTGGTTTCTATGCTTCATATTTGTACATTCATTTATTAATCCACACAAACACACTATATCCTGTCTAGTTCCTCCTGATGAGAGTCATTTGTTTGGTCCAACATTTTTATCCACCCTATACACACCATTTCTCTTAAACATTGTGAGTCCAAAAATATGCATGAAAGATATGTCATTTGTTTTTTCATTAAAAAGGTAGAGCAGGAGGCATATGCATTTCACTTCAACCTCTGAAAGTGACAAACCAGTGTGGAGTTTAGTAAAAAATCCGGAAATATTTTAAAGTAGCTGTTGTTATTTCCTTTCGTTAAAGTTCTCCTTGTTATTTTTTCTGTCATCACCTGGATTATAGAACAGCAAGCATATAAATACATCATGTTTACCTTCAAATTGGAACATTTTTTTAGAACAAATGTTTACAGAGGATGGGCACTCTATTTTAAAACCAACAAGCAAGAGTTATTGTGATAACTTTACTTCTTTTTATTTTTCCAGCTCGGACCATGGCTTGCTGTAGAAATACCAGATCTGATAGAGAAAGGATTGATTGAGTACAAAGAGAAGTCTGCTAGTAAATAGACAGGAAATGAAAATCGTAAGGAAAGCCAATAAATACTTCAAATTGTGGAGTTTTTTTTTTTTTTTTTTAAATGTGATCAATGTTGCTGAATGTTTGCCCCTTGTTTTTAAATTTCTTATAACACATCGTTGCAGTGCTAACTTTGTGGATAGTTTTGGTAATCGCCCGTACCGCTTTCCCTTTAGCCTTATCTATTTTGCAACGAAACTTATTTTATTGAGCTAAGCTCCAGTGTCCTAACGATCAGCGAGACTTGTTATCACTTTCTCTGAACAAAGGTTTGATAAAGACGTATGGTATATAAAGAATATGTTTCCAGCAGATCTCTCAATCCTCACTATGATGTTATCTTTCCCCCAGTCTTTTATTGACTTTGCACAACAACCAACGATAAACTAGTGAATTTCCTTTTCTGTTTTTCACCGTCTTTGCCCGAGATTGCCTGACTAATTTTGACATGAGATTTTGCGCAATTTTATGGCACTTCTGCGGATTGAATTTTAGTCTCAGCAGCAAAGCTCTTGTAGTCATTCGAGCGCGCGTAGCCTGATTAAAAAAACCTGGTGACAATCGTTGCAAACCTGTAGTGTTCATTTCCTCAGTTGTTAAACATGCAAAGCGCAAATTTTGGAACGTGGTCTAGATACGCACACACACGGACACACACACTGAAACTCTTGCACAACTTCTAACAAAATCATTATCAAGCGTAGCATATTCGTTTATATCTATTTTGTTCAGTCCTTTTGAAAATAGAATTTCATTCACTGTGGCATCTTAATAAAACGTTCATTAAATCAGTTTGTACAAGCATGTTGTTCCGTCAGGTAAAGTAAACAAAACTTGAAAACGTAAGAAGAAAGCATTGAAAACATGCGACTGTGGGAAAAGATCCAAAGATATTCCAATTAAAGAAATCTTTCATTGTAAGGGAAGTAGTGTGGCATTTTGAAAGCTTAGGTTTCAAAATATTTTTGACTTGAATTAAAAATTTATATCGTAATCTTTAATTTTTGTTGCAAATCCTTAAAAGTCTTGCTGTTTTCATTTTTTGTTTTAATATTTCAAATAAGACTTGTTAAAACAAAACAAAATAAAAAAGAAGTATGTCATCTTCCTGGAGATTATCTTCCTGTTTTGTGTTGCCGGCGTCCACAACAGAGAAGTGCGTCGCCGGTTGTCCTTTGAACTTTTGCTTATCGGTGTACTTGGCTTTCACGAGGTTTAGTAAGTGTTAAAATATTCCCTAATTCATGTCCTCTTTTCCATTCTGTTATCTTGTAAGTGTTCTTAAGTACTAAATTTTCCTGTTTTGTTAACACAAAACCCTTATTTTTGGAATTCGACTTGTTTTTAACAGCTAGGCATCAGTAGCACTCTGACCAGAGCTTACTTTGAATGATTTCCTTAGAACGATCTTTCTGCTTTATATGGAAGTAAATAGATACTACTTAAAAGTGCAATTTTAACCGTTTGAAGAGAAGTAAAATAATTTCAGGTAAAACAGAAACCGGTTTGAAAAGGTAAATTCAGTAGAATCACGACACAAGTCTGTTTCAAGAAATGAAATGTTAATTGGTAAATCTTTTCTTGCCGGAAGGGATTACAGGGTCAATTTAAAACGAAATGTGCTCACGAAAACTAATTTGAACACCTTTTCAAAAAGCTTTCATATTCTCTAATTTAAACAATAGCCAGAAAATGCTCTCTGATTGGCCAAATGTTAATTATTCGCAAAATTGTAACTTAAATTTTTTTCCTGGGGTCTATATATATATATTGATTTGTGAGAACAAATTCTCTTCACTAAGAAGCTACGTGATATTTTTTTAACTCTCTTTAAATCAAAGCACTGAGAGTTTGCGGCATTTAATGAAGTGCCTTTCTGTTTTAAATATTAATAAAGCAAGTATGATGTTTTCAAGTGGTTCGCATCCGAGACGAAACATCAAAATAGTTGGCTTTTGTGTACAATTATCACGGCCAGATCTGTATTTGTACATATATATCAATTTTCTGATAATCTCTTTATTTTTCCCCATAAGCTTTTGAATAGTTTTTGTGTGTTTCTGGATGTACCTGGCAGGTGGACATTGAAAGATTTGACAACTGACATTTTGTTGCTCAATTCAAGGAAACATTTAAAGATATTTTATTTTTGTTCAATTGAGCACTAAACGTGACCCTAACACAGAGCGTACTGTTCATTCATAATGAGAAAGGCGGGACAGAGGTGAAACAAAATCGAAAACTTCTTACAGCTAGATCTTGTAACGACGACGCGTGACTGACTTAAATTGCGAACTATTAGATTTTAGCAGACCGGCCTAATTTTCAAATTGAGAACCGCCGCCATCGATAAGGAAAATAGAACAACACAAAATTATCAGCGGGTTTGCCGGCAAGAGATAACCCCGTTTTGTGCAGCAAGAGCGGAAAACCATGCCAAAAAGTGTTGAATGATAAGATTTGTGCGCTGCCGTCAGATGGAATAGATTAAAAGTCATTGTGGTGGACAAGGTGGGCTGTGAGGATTTAACTTTAATCATACGAACTCATTGCTAGCGTTATTCACTCTCCTCTTTTGAAGTCCGACAAAGTCAATTACATAACAGGAACGTGGCTACAATACAGAGGAACCGCTTCAGGTTCAGTTTTCATTTAGTTGTTTCTTGAAATTGCACTGCTTTTACCCTGTTCTTGACAAAATTACTTTCAAGTTAGGAGTTATCTGTTTGTTTGTTTGTTTGTTTATTTGCGACGGACAAATTCAAAACTACTTACAACTTCGAGGTTTGACGACGACAGGCAGACAACAGCCAGCGCGGACAACACATATTGGCCTAAATCTGCCTCTCTGTGCACGAAAAGAAATAAGTCAGAAGAACCTTTTAGCGGCAACTCTACTTGTCGCTTGAAATTGTTTGCACAGCTGAAGCATTATAGATAACATCAACAACGAAATTCGATTGAACGGAACCTTGGAAAGCTTCTTCGCGAGAGATTTCGAGGTTCTTTAAAGCTACAGCAAGAGACTGACTAGCTGGCTAAAGTAATATCATCTCATTCTGAAGGCATACCAATATCGTTAACACTCCTTCAAAAGAAGCTAAACCGGAAGAGGAACGGAAGATGCAAGAAGCTAACAACTCAGCTGAAATCCTCGATCCAAAATCGGAATGGACTGGAGACGAACCCGAGAACATCACGCTCGCATCAATACCGTTGGCTTTCCTAATTGTCTTTACAATTTTTGGAAACATTCTGGTTTGTGCCGCGTTTTATCATTGCCGAGATCTTCGCAATGTAACCAATTACTTTGTTGTTTCACTGTCTGTTGCCGACCTGTTAGTAGGGTTCGTGTGTATGCCATTCTGGTTCACTTACCTTATCAAACAATGGCCCGACCCTATTAAGGACAAAGAACTGTACACGTTATGGATTTGTTTGGACATTGTGAGCGGGACATCTTCAATAATGAACTTAGTAGCTATCAGCGTGGATCGCTTCTTCGCCATAACATCTCCATTTACTTACCATTCGAAACTGACTAAGAACCGCGCTCGTTTATGCATTGTGTTTCTGTGGACCTACTCCATTACTGTGGCCAGTTTACGGCTCATCTCAACGCATAGCAAATGGTATGCATATTTTGTTGCTGCTGCGAGTTATTTTCTACCGTTGCCAGTTCTTCTCTTTTCCTATGCCAGAATTTTCCGTGTGGCTCATCAACAGGCTTTAAAAATGCCAATTGAAACCTATGGCCAAGAAATGTCAGATGTTGAACATAAGAACGGGGAAACCGCCGACTCAGAGACTTTTGTGAAGCCTCGCGCCTCTTACAGCGTGGGACGGAGTTCTTCCACTGCGAATCGCTTCCTTTTCCATAAAGTGCGCCCGCGCTTAACTAGTCAGAGCTCCGTTCGCCAAATGCGTCGTGTATATCATACTGATCTTAAAGCCGCCAAGACGCTGGCGATTGTAATGGGTGCTTTTCTCGCTTGCTGGTCACCCTACATCATCACGTTACTGATAACAGTCTCGTGTAGGAGGTGCATGTCTCAGGACGCGACCTTACAACTCGCTAAAGCTATGAAGTGGCTGCATTACTCTAATTCAGCGGTAAATCCGATCATCTACACGCTCCTTAATCGGCACTTCCGAGCAGCTTTCCGTAGGATTCTCTGTCGGTTCGTCTCCGATCAAAGTTTCTCGTATGTCAGTCGATGGCTGTCGCACAGCACGCCAAGGACCAGCCGAAGTAGTGGAAATATTGTCGTTGAGTTAGGCAAAGCCAACTCTAAGACTGAGATGGACGTTCTTGTTTGCACTGAGATTGTGACCGTTGTTTAGAGTTAACTGAACAAGACAAGACAAGAGAAATTACGACTAAATTATCAAAGCAAACGATGAAGAATGAAGGACAGGCGACGATGATTTATATTTTATGCTCAATATGAAAAACTAGATTCTATTGAGAAACTGAGTAGAGGATTCCCGCTGAAAACCTTAGGAAGTCCCAGTTGGCTTTACATCCTTAATGTTTTAAACTTATAGCAATGAATTGCACAGACTTGCCAGACACGAACATGTTTTCCCTGACTTTCCGGCCGCAGCGCAAAGCTAGTTTTTTTTACTTAAGTCTCCATTGGCGCGTTAGGCAAAGTCCGTAAACAGACGTGTCTTTTCCTTTTGCCCGGAGATTTAAATTCCATTGCCCTGTTGTTTGAAAGGTGATTATAAATAATCTAATCCTGTCCTTGAATTCTCTTGAAAATAGAGGGTATGTTAGCGCTTATTTTTTTAGGTGGTTTTACCTTAGCCTGAGAAGAAACTGACAAAAACATTTCTGCACTCAAAATTGTCATCAAAGCTGCAGAGTTAAATCAGAAATTGTTGGCGACCAAATCCTTGCTTAGCTCTATCGTGCTTTGAACAACCAGAGACCACAACCAGGCCCATAAGTGTAAAAAAAGTGAATCACAGATATGGCAAGGTGGATAAATTTGACACAAAATCAGAACTGAGAACAGGAATAATCAAGTCTACTTACTCTTTGTGCCTGTGTCGAGAAATATCAGCATTCAAGCAAAAGCAAAATCAAAACTGGGCATGGGAAGTAGCAAAGTCTGCGAGACGACCCAGCAGGGCCATTAAAATTAACTTCTATCATAGCACTCAGTAAAAATAAAAAAGATAGATACCAAAAGTTTGCGTACACAATTTTATCAGAAGAAGATTAACACTTTTACTGTTCTCCTATTGGTGTTAGATTTTAATTAACTGTTTTGTTTTGTTTTGTTTTGTTTCTTATTTTGAAGGCGTGTTAAATGTATTCAGTATTAGTAAACTCTTAATATGTGTCGTCCCCGGCGATATTACTATTACCGACCAACGCTGACAACTGTGACCCTAATTATTTTTACAGAAGTTACTAACACTAAATGGAACCCCATTGCCTGATTTGTTCATCCTAACTAATTCAGGTAAATTTCCAAGTTACTCGATTGCAGCCTCTGCTAATCTTGGTCTTCCTTAATGTTATCCATTTTTTATTTATCAAACGTTTCTGGCGTTTTCATACTCCAGACTTGGTAATCCAGGCTGTAATCCATTTAAAAGCTATTCAGCTCGTCGCTAAAGAGAATTCAAATTACCATGGTAACTCCTTTAAAATAATTTCAATGACTTGACAGCATTATTTTACATTGAAATACTTTACCTGACTCAAGTGAAATACGTCTGAATACTTCAGATGACTTTATAATAACCCTTTCACTGCCAAAAGTGACCAATGAGTATTTTCTCCCTACAACATCAATACATCATCAACCAGAGTGGTGATCAGAAGAAAGAAAACCATTAACAAGTGGATGTTGTCGTTTTCACCCTAAATTTTCAGATCTACAATTAGCTCCAAGGCTAGGGTTGGCATATTTTGCGTGACAGCGGCCTTTACGTATGTTTTCCTTTTGAAATTTTGCGCGGGAAACAGGCGCGCTTCTTGTCAAACAAAATTGATCCCCGTGCGCGTGCCTAACATTTGACCGCTGTGTCAGGGTGGTAGCGGAAAAGTGAATTTTTTCTGTCGTCGTCTTTCCTATCCACCTTTCCGCCTGTCAAACACGCTCATCATTAGAAGTATTTTCTTTTCTGCACGTTCAGCATGTTAGTAAGCTTTATCAGTTAATGCCATGGAGTTACTGAGTTGGCAAAGAAAGTCTGTAGTGCATATCTTGTCCGCTGTTAGCAGAAGTTGTAACATTCCGCGTAGTGAAGCTATCAGTCTGACGTGTCATTCTGCCATTCAGACCGATTCTCCTTAACACATCTTTGAAGGCTGCCCTGAAGTTTGTGTTCAAACAGCTGTATATAAGCGGGTTCAGAGCCGAATTACCGTAGTGTAACCATTTAATCATGGAATAAACTTCATTGGGAACTTTGCATAACTTACAGTACCTAAAGATCAAATTAGCCACGAAAAACGGACACCAGCATGCAATGAAAACACCGATTACAATGCTGAGTGTTCGCGCAGCCTTGATGTCACGATGGAATCTTTCCGCTGTTGTGCGACCAGTTATCGATTGGTTCGGGTGCACACGACGAATGCTACGAGTATGCATTAAAGCGACTTGGAATATACGAGAATATGCGATTACCATGACCAACAGAGGAACGAAGAAAGAAGCCAGAGAAACGAACAACGGGTAGCTAGGCCATTTGATTGGTTGTATGGCTGCAATTGTTATAGAATAAATCCAAATGAAGGTTATTCCGATCGCGATTCGGAGTCGTGTGACTATTGTTGGATAACGAAGTGGATGATTTACAGCCAGAAAGCGGTCGATACTTATAAAGACAAGATTCATGATGGACGCCGTTCCACAGATGATGTCAAAACACAGCCAAACCGTGTAGAACGTAGGGAAGTTAGTGACGTCTGGTTTGCCTGTCAGGTTAACAGAAAGCCAAACTGGCATAGATATTGCGCCAACTAAAATATCAGTAACCGCTAAACTGATTATAAAGGCACTGGTGAAACTTTGAAGTCGTTTAGACAAGATACAGGCCAAACAAACCAGAATGTTACCAAACACAGCGAAAAGTATTATTATTACCAGGAACACATTCGCCACAATCAAGGAAACTTTGCGTTTGTCGGTGGTAACTTCATGGGTTGAGTTTGAACCTTGTGTTTCATTCATGGCCTGAAAACACTCTTCACGAGCTGTTCCCTGTAATGTGGATAGTTGAATGATTAGAATATACATAGGAGTTGTACTGTTAGTCGTTATATATGTGTGTGGCAGTACCCCTAGGCAATACGAAGAGAAACCTGTGGTCTGATTGGTTATAATTTGGATATATCAACAAAGTTGAAATGGTAAATTGGCCACCGTAACGATTACAAAAGCTGACGTTTCGAGCGTTAGCCCTTCGTCGGAGCGAATCGCTCCGACCAAGGGCTAACGCTCGAAACGTCAGCTTTTGTAATCGTTACGGTGGCCAATTTACCATTTCAACTTTGTTGATATATCCAAATTATTTCGTTACCCCCGCCGACGCAGCCCCAAACAGTTTCTTTAGAAGCTATCAGCCTTTATTCTTCTGATTGGTTACCCGAGCGGGCAAGATGGTCCCATCTTGCCCACTCGTCTCATGTCATTTCGTGTCATTCGCGAGCAAGAACTGAATCTGGTGTTGTTCAAAGTTTTTTGACAAAGTAAAGAAAAAGTATCAAATCACTTTACTTTCAATTCAATTACCAATTCGTCAAATAAAAAACGAGTACGCACCATCACTGTTGGATTTCTTTTTCTGCGCTCGAAAATAAAAAAAGTCATTCTGATTCTCTGGCATTGCCTTGTGTGTGACAGGCTGTCAGAATTATAGGTTCATTGAGATGCACAAGCTTACGTCGTTCCTTTTAGCTAATACTCTCTCACAGACAAGCCAAGAAAAGGACCGCGTTTCCTCAAAAGAAGAGGTAAAGCAGATAGGAAGATAAAAAGAAGTCGTTTATTTGAGATATAAGAAAAATTGAAATGGAGTAAACAAAGTATCATCTTTCTTTGTAAGTGCAGGGTGTACGAACACTAACCGCCAAGGGTCTTGTGGGTGGATTTCTATTAAATGTTACACTGGTAGCACAGAAATAATAGTCCTAGCTCCATTCAGTTTCCAGTTTAACCCCAATTTAGAGAAATCCCGTGAAGAGGAAAAACGGGAAAGTGCGCGTAATATCGTCTCATCAATACTGAGGTTGACCAGTTTCTACTTCTGCATATCAAGTGAAGTTGAACTAAACAAGTTCTTGAAACTTGTATGAATTTATTATGAATTCGCCTGCTTCTTCAGTCAACCTTATGGGGGATCTCTCCTCCACACTCGCTCTGAAATGTTTCATTTGGCTGACCTCGATCACCTCTTAGGAAGTCATACCAAAAACTTGAACGTTCAACTCTTATGTTGAACTGTCTACAATTGAAAAAAAAAAAAAAAACAATTTGTGCAGTTTTCCTTTCTTGAAGAGTAAGCTGGCAAACTTCACGCGTCAGGTATTTTAAAGAATCTTTTCAGCGCTTATTTGCCTTGCTCATTGTACCGGTTTCTATAGATGTCTATATTTGGTATCAGATCCAAAACCACTATGATTTTGAGACCTTGAAACAATAACATTTTTACTTTGTTTCAACTAAAATTACTCTTACCTCCAATGTGTGATGGAAAGAGCTCTGTACAAAAGCTAAGTCAGATTTTGTCATCTGAAAATTCTGATTGCATGTTCCTTTAGGTCCCAAAAATGTCTTGGTCCCCGCTGTGGGTGTTAACCTGTCTCTATAGACAAGAAGGACATTGACCAGTTCAGAGACGAGTTTGTGTGAATGCTTTGTTCACAGGACCCGTCAGATCGCAAAGAGAACCAAGCGTTTTAAAATGATTAATTCTGAAATTTGATCCTAAGAACTGGAATGCTTTACGCACCTGTATGTAAAGAGTTGGCAAGAAGTACACCAAAGTGCTTTAATTATTCGTTATCGTCGATCTCTTAAAGGATGCTTACAATTTTTTCAATCTTTATTTCGTTTTACGCCAGAATATTTCTCCGACGCAACGATCAGATAACGTCATAAAGAAGTGCTTTGAAATCCATTTGATGTGATAATTCCAGTGTTATCTCCCGCTGTGCGGGCGATTGCATCGCTAGGTAAGAGCTGTAGAGGGGTGCTCCGAGAGTGACATAAATCTGATCCATTTTTGTTGTCCTCGTTTGAAAACATTTTAAATTCAGTAACAGCACATGGACCTAAAGGAAGAATTACTATAAGAGACTTCCATAAATTAGCAACCTCTTTCATGAACTATTTAAGTAACAAATTTGACTTCACAAATTGACTAATGTGTTGGAATAGCTTCGTAAAAAATGTCAGAGATAACCATTAAGAGATGAGATTTGAAAAACTTATGTCGATTTTGAAACTTCTTTAAACGAAGGACAATTTCCTTTATTGTCCTGGTACATCCTTTGAAATTAAAAGTGCAAGAGGTATTTCCGGCATTTAAATCTAAAACGCCAAAATAAACAGCAACGGGGAAATTAAAAGAACCGGATAACTAAGAAAAGTCAACATGCAATCCCTTGTACAATTAATATAGTATTTGGAGACATGAATAAGGCGCCATTGGATTGGGGGTTTGACGGGTTCTTAATTCTGGTAGAATTTTTACTGAATTTTAACAAAATCAAGTTGTTCTGGCATTTGTGTTCCTTGTTGTAGAACCTCTCACAATATTCCCGGTCTTTCAGCCTTATTCAATTTGTTCGCATCAATTTGTTTGACAGTCATGTTGATAACAATGATCTCCTTTCCGCTTTAAATGTCTGAGCAAATAACGTTAACAATCTTATTGCGAAAGGGTTCGGGTTTGGAGAGGTCTGAAAATGGTTTAATCTGTGACAAAGAATTTAAAAAAAGCAGCGATTCCATTGACCTTACCTACATGGGTTGCAAATAACGTCCATTCTGTGGTTTTTATAACAATCACTTTTTCAAAGTACGAATGCAAAGTGCAAGAAATATGGCAATAATGATAATAATCAGACCGGCAAAACAATACTTTTATACCTTTTAAACCTTTTAAACCTTTTAAACCTGGTGTTCGAAATGAAAGGCTTCTACTCTAGAACACATTTGATCGTCTTTGATGTTGTAACTTAAAAGTAATCAATAGTCGTGTAAAAGCCCACCTCAGTCAGCTTCCCTGATGCAAACCTAAAAAACTGTCCACTACACAGAGTTAAATGTAGAAATATCAATTTAACTTTGTCAGATTCTGTCCACCTTCGTATCATACTTCACAGCATAGTGGCGCCCGTCCAAAGATAACTGAGCATAATAAATGCACGTTCGTTTTTTAAATGTCTACATTGCCTGAACCTTAAAAATCAAAAATGCAACTTTTCTAGGGAAAGAATTGAAGGGTTTGCTAATTCTTAAGTTATTTCAAGCCCCATTAGAAACGGGAAGATTTTGATCTAAAAGCCCGGCGGAAGGTTCTTGTCCGGTGTGATGCTGGATAGTGTAGCTAAATAAAAAAGCATGCAAATTAACAATATTACACCAAAATTATTCTCAGTTTTTGAAACGATGCAAAAAGGGTGAATCAGCTAAAGGTATAACACTACAACAACGGTTGAAAACAATGATTTGAACGACAACAACAACTACAACATTAACAACAACACCCACAAAAGCAATATGATCATTGTAAATTTTAACACTGAAGCACATTCTAAAACCCTAAAGAATCACCGAAAATGAACCGTAGTGTTCCAGTGATTCCCCCTGTGCGGTTTCCCAGCAAAACCAGCAAGCAGAGTCAACTGAATGAGAAACCTATTATCACGTTGGGTGGAAACTACTCAGCTTTTTTATGGGTATTGTTCTTAGTTTGGCAAAGTGGCGGGCAAATAGTGTCCTGAGTCCAACAGGATTTGATCAATTATCAAAACAAAGGAAGGGACAATCCCAAGGAAGAAGAGAAATACAGCTCTGTTGGAATTTAGAACCGAGAGTGTCTACAAGTAGTGAAAACGCTCGTCTTTCATCAAAATTGTTTTAAAGGCTGTTCCCGAACATAGCAGTTTATACTTAACACAAAACATATTGGTACACTGATGTAAATACGGAACAAGTTAGCATCTAAATCCACAGTGAGCTGAACTCAAACAGAAAATGATAGACTGGTTCTTTATTTTTTGAGTTACAGATATTGGACCTTTGAAATAAACCACTTACACAATTGACTGCATGGATACCATTTGACGGTGGCAGTTGATAAATGAAATAAGTACGTGACGGTTACCAGGTATATTTCCTCCACGTACAGAATATCTCATTTATCTGATAAGAATACTGGAAAATACGTTGAGGATGACGAACACCCAAAACTCAATTTTTGCCGTCTGATCTTAGGAAGGATGCAGTCAACATCCGGAGAATCCTGGGAACTAGTTAGGATGAGTTATCGGGAGGGTTTTCGCTGGTATCTTGAATCTACCAAGATTAGCGAAAGAAGAGGCAATTAAGTTAGGTTGAAAAACAGACAAGCACATAAAAAAATAGCTACGCGTCTATAACCAGTGAAATACTGAAATTGCCCTCAATCTTAACCACTAATATCAATACACTGCCATCTGAAGCCTTTGTGTCGTTTGCATATTGTCTGACTCAGGAAAAAATCTAATCAAATCAAAAACTATTTTTTGAAATGCATGCATAGAGTTGGCTTCTCTGAATAACAATCGGCGAAATAATACGCGTAGACTCACGAGATGTAAAATTAAGCTAAATATATTTTCTGTTCAGTTTTGTAACGACTGAGGTCTATTAATTGAGGGCATTTGCCTACCACTCAGCGTAAAATTCTAGACTGATGTAATATAGCATATCACATATTACAGGTGAAAATAGCACATAACCTTCAGGCATCTTTCATTGAGTAATAATTCATAATTCTCATAACCTTCTGTTTGATTAACTGGCTTGTAATACAGCTGCAATTGACAAACTATGGCCAGTGTTATTTTGTAATGGGGACTTTGCGGTATTACTCAAACGGGAAAAACATTTTCTAGCTACGTCGAGGCTCTAAAGCTCTCCATTAAAACATGTCCGAGGTAGGTACAAAATACATGTATATCAGTCTTTTCACCTGAGGAAGGATCCAGCTTGCTTTTTCGTTTACTTATTAGTCACAAAATCACGTCAAGAAAACGGAGTTCAAAATTCATGGCGCGCCGGAGAAATGTGAAAACCTGCGTGTAAATCAATATTGTAGAATTATATTCCATAGTTAAGGCAGATGGTTACACTTAAAATCGTTCCTGCGGAGATCATTAATTTTATTTTGAAAGGTTCGAAACTTTGCATTTTAAAAAGACAACAATTGACTCAATAGATATCTAGCCGCACCATTCGACACTTCAAATTTTCTGTTTTTTTCGATTTTCCATTCGATATGAAACGAAATAATGCAATGATATGCATGGTCGGTAGTTTACCACGGATTTCCACAACATCATTTTCCGGTATGCAAAATTGACAATTCGTGACGAAAATTCAACTGGTGAGTGTTACTTTCAAAACATCGTGAATGTCAAATTCAGTTTCATACATTTTCAAGACAGGTCTCTAAAGAATTGTTAGTGGTATAATCTTGCTAGAAAATTATTGTTATCGTGCGGCAAGAATTATTGCGTTATCTTCAAACCACAATCTCTCCTGCCGATAATTCTCGTCAGGATTTCATGGAATATTCAAGACAAGCTTAAGGCCCGTATGCATATTTAACAAACTGGCATGATTTTGGAGTATTTTACTTGAAAACTTGCCGAAGATATATTTTTACAATCAGTCGTAGGAAAGAAAAATATATTGTTTACCATTCATCGTTTAAAAAAGACATTTTAAATATTTGTCGATTGGAAATGGGCTTCTTAATTCATGAGATCACATTTTTGTGTAAACAATTTTTTTGTTTTTCCAAGCTTCCTTCGCCAAACTATAAATAATTCATGGTTCTCGTTCTGATTTTGATGTCTACGAGGGAGATAGGCCCACAGGGACGTAAATCACTTGATTTGGGTGTTACCTTGGTAACGATGACGTATTATGACGCGCACTGCCTTTGAATGGCGAAAGCAAACCTTGTTTCACGGCCAACAACGGCTATAAGGGTCGACACAATATCAAACAAATGATAGGGCATAGAAAAGAAAAGAAAGGAAAAACCTCCATAACCTAATGCAGCCGCGGTCAAGAGGTATATTTCTTATGAATTAACTGTCGCTTCTATTCCCATTGCTGTAGGATTATTTCAAAACAGCCCCGCGCTTCTTTTCTGTTCACTTGACATCTAAAGATGTAATATTGAAATGAAGCATTGTCCTCACGTCGCTTTTAACGAATGAAAATTGGGCATTGAAATGTTCATTTATTCAAACCGTCGATTACAATCATCGGAGGGAATTTCAATTAGTTCTCATTTCGATTTTTCCAGTTTTCGATGCAGCTTTCACGACCCAGTACTGTTGTTAGCGCCGTCGAGGACGAAAGTTTCCCAAGTAGGAGAGAATTTTCACCAGACGTATGTAACTTCCGGATATTTTAACTTAAGAAATATTGTTGAAAACCATAGATTGATTTTTCTGACAGATTAATTTCTCTGCAGGGAGCTGACAAGAAATGAATTTCCGTAAAAAGCGTAAACATGTATAGATGTTTGGGTTTTAACTGATCTTCATTTTTTGCACTTCGAAAAAACTCCTCGTTAAGTGTCAAGCACCGCCTCTGACAAACCTATTTACAAGATTTATACTGCCTGTGAGTTTTTCCTTCGTGTTCAGTGAACGTAGATAAACTTGAATTCAACAATTTAATTTCTCAAGCAATATAGATAAAATTTTTCATAAAGAAACGAGGAAATAGGGGAGAAATAAAAATTAAATGTGAGATAAAAACTTGACCCTACTTCGCTTGCGTAATCAGAAACAATTTTGCTTAAATTCTTAGAGATTGTTACGATTTGTTGTTTTTCATTCCACGGGCTAAACTACTTTTAACTAAATTTTTGTTAATATTTCATGAAAAAATTAAATCATCTTTAGCTAACCCATGTCCGTTTGTCTCATCCAATTTTCAGTTCCCGACAATGAGTTGGTGTAGAGGAAGAAGGACGTTTTCATCGAGACCACCGCTTCAAAAATGTCTGATCTTGTGCTGTCGTATTTTGGTGATATCACTGTTGGTTGGTTGCGGTTTAATTTTGAGAGCAGCAGCCGACGGCTTGGAATTGACAGACGGTAAGTATTACGGCTCTTTTTGTCGTCGTTCTAACAATAAAATCATTATATTTTAATCTCGTTCGTCGTTTATCGGTCTTCGGTTTATGGTACATCTAGAAAAGAGTAAGTAATGTAAAAATGCGGGATTAAGAGCGGCAAATCTCAATTCTCTCGTTTGTCTTCAGCCAATTTTCATGAAATATTAAGTTTTGATGTAAGAAATGTTTTTAAAATCCTCAGTATTCTCTTGCAACCTTGGCTTTAAAGGAGTATAAAGATTCACTAATGCGAATTTTTAAAGAATGCTTTGTTTAAATCAATGTTTTATTACAGTTTGCACTGCTCGGACCGGAACCTTGCCAATTTATAGCAAACAAACCAAAAATATACCACACCGTCAGTCTTATCAATTTGTATTTCGAGGACAAGTTACCGGTGTAGGTGAGAAAAAAGAAGGTAAAAAAAAAAGGAAACTCTTCCTTCCCTTTGTCAACAAACATTCTCTCCAAATCTGGTTAAAAACAAATTTTATCGATGCCCGAGGATCTCATCCAAATTTGCTAATGCCGTCACAAACGCTGCAGAAAATATACATCGAACTGGAATCTATAGCGAGTGGAAATTATACAGCTGAAGTACATCGTGACAGTTATTGAGATATTTTTTTCCACAAAGAACTAATAATTATGTGTGGTAACTCCTATTCTCGCTTGCAGAAAGTAGTGATTATTATTGTAATACAAAGACCCTCGAAATGGCTTGTAAGTGAGAACAAGAAATTTATTTGCGTTTTGTTGATAGCCGCACAATGCAGACAAGTGTTAAAGTTTGTTTCCTTTCAGTAATTGCATTGACAGACATTTCAGGGTAGTTTTACTGTGTTTGTTTCATGTTCAACAGTGGAGGAAAACGATGAGATGAAAATTAATCAACAAAGCCGACCAGCGTGCAGCATGCTGAACAAAATATAAAAGTAACGGTCCTTTGAAAATGCAAGCCGTTTGCATTGGAAAGTTTTTCAAATATGGCTAAGAAAACTTCAATTTGTGTCGTGTCTTATTTGTAAATCTAAGAAATGTTTTTTTGCTTGTTTATCTAATTGAGTTGCTACTTTCCCGGCCTAAATTGTCAACACAGTTAAAAGCATGTTCTGGCTTCTGCTTCTTTGTGCATAACATGTTTTAAATGTGAGTGGGAAAATGCAGTGCACCTGGTGTTTATCGCCAGAAACAAACAAAATGATTAGCTGATTTACTTTTAAAAATACATTTTAAAACGTTTTGTAGCAAATTTGCCGTTAGGCAGGATGAAACAATGAATTCATCTTAAGGGTGCACGCTTCATTCAACAGAAGACAATTTGCAGTTTTAATATAAAACCCCTTGCCGCGGGTTAATCCTGTTATTTATTAATTTTTTTTTTATTTTTTATTTAAACAAAAGGAAGCGTCGAAGGTTATCCCTATCGAGGACGCTCCCTACATAAAATATAATATATTTTAGTTACAATGTAAAATTTAAGAGTCATTAAGAAATAGGTTAAAAATATATATATATATACATATATATATATATGTGTGTGTGTGTGTGTGCGTGTACATATTTTACGAAATTTTAAAATACTTTCTAAGTTTCCTACGAAAAATGTTAAAATCCTCTTCGTGCACTATCTCTTTAGGAAGAGGCATTCCACGGTTTCACAACTTTAAAAAAGAATGAGTCCAAAAAACAGTTTACTCTAGCTAATGGCTTGTCTCAATTCTTACAACTGAGAACGAATTTTCATATTCTATTCTCCATTTCTCATACAGGACAACAATCACTGGCGAGGTGTTAACTATTGTCTTTGCAAAAGACCTCTCACTTGTTAATAAAATGCAAATCTTTTGCCCTTGCCATAAAACAAAAATTGCACGAAAAGAAAAAGGGCTTTCCCGAAAGTAAAACCAATAAGGGCTTTCCTTTTCGCCAAAAGGAATTTGATGCCCCAAAGAACAAAGAAAAATGAAATAGAATGTTCTTGCCAGCTACAACTTTACAAAAATTAGAAGAGTCTATTCAATTATCCTTCACCCAAACGTTTAGAATTTCGTATCACCTGAGACTCTTATTTTCCGATAGCGACTTGTAAAAATACTGCTAATTGCATTTTTCAACTGCATCACCTAAACAAAAGACCTATTGTTCGGTAACACTACTTACTCTGATCCTGATTGAACACAGATTAATTGAGTATCTGACACAAGGCAACAATTATGCTTTAAACGTCGAGATTCACTTTACAGTAAACATCACATTTTGTTAGGGTCAAAAAAAGAAACACATAAAGTACAATTTGGTACTTGTACTTATAATTTTCTGCTTTTTTCAAACAATCAAGTGATTTTGTCATTAATTGAATAAACGGGAAGAGCAAACACTTTTTCTTGCTTTGGTGTTAGGCAATGACAGGACTTTAAATTGCAGAAGGAAACAGAGTTCATTGTAAGTTGAGTGAGACGGATAAATTGCAACAGCCGGGGATACAATTAACTAGTCAAGGTTCTCAAACTGTTTTTAGTAATGTTATCAAATTAAAAAGCAAAAACAGAAGAGATGAACAGTTCTATGTAAGATACAAGGACAAACGTAAGGAAAATCATAAGCAGAAGCTGGAGTGCGAGCTCCAGATTGTTATCGAGACTCCTACTCTCTGCTGATTAGCAATCGAGTGGGCTGATTAGCAAGCGATAAAATCAACATGCAGAGCTCGACACTAACGGTAGCCCACTAACCTCAGACTGGTAGAAATTCAGTTTTGGCTAGTGGTTTTCAATTTCCACTAGCCAGTTTGGCTAGTAAATAAACTGAAATTGTCATAAAATCTAAGACGTCACTAGCCACTTGGCTAGTAAGTTGAAAAGTTAGTGTCGAGCCCTGAACATGACTTCTTAAGAGCACTTAAAATTGTATATTAAAACTAACTCCCACTCAAACCCACGTAAAGAAAAGAACTTCATTTTATTTTTACACAAACCCATCTTTCTTTCCTTTTTTTTTTTTTCAGTGCCTTTCCTTCTGTTCCTTACTTTGTTTTCTATTATTGTTCTTCAATGGAGAAAAAGTAAAGAAAGTGTCCAAGAAGTCTTTATTGCGGCTTAAAAGTATCTCTCTTAAATCAGAAGACTGGTTCGATCCAGTGCGCAATGTTAATGAAAACACGAGACAAAAACATTCCCCAATGAGACCTGTAAGCGATGGTTTGATTAGGGCCGGAAAAAGGCTGGGCAGCGCTGCGAGGAAGTGGAAAGAATGAAGGAAGAAAGATGGAGGCGGCAGTCAAATGATAAAATGCTTATTGACTGAATTAGGTTGAGCCACACGGGAAAATATTTGGCTCTCGGTCATGACACTGGGACCTCACTGAGCTATGAGTCAAATATTTACCCGTCCGCCTCTCCCACTCAGTCAATAGATACATGATTCCTTTGTAATCATTTTGTAGGATCAGTTTTCCAATCAAGACATCTGCTATCAAGTGTCGAGTGGGAAACTTGCAACTTTGAAATCGGTCATTCGAGAAATTATTCAGCTCGGGAAACATGGTGGGCTCCCGATGAAGCATATGGCTGGCTGGCGTTGCATATATTTAGTGTTCTTGTCATTTTTGTAGGTAAAGTATGAGTCTGTTTATTGATGTCCGTCCTCTCATTATATATGCACTGGCCTTCACCTCGGTTGTTTGTTGGAGGAAGCATTTCCAGTGATAGAAAAGTGCCACTGGAAAATTTTCTTCCGAAATGTGAGATTTTTGAAATTAGACAACAGTTAATTTATCAGCTATCTTACCTTTAGATCCATTGCACTTTTATCTCGTAGCTTTATTCACTTTGCACAAAATCGTTATGATAGAAAATAAGTGTTGTTTAATTTTACTTTCTATAGCGCTTGCTATCGTTTGCGATGACTTTTTTGTGCCATCCCTTGAGGCAATATCTGAGAAACTGGATCTTTCAGAGGATGTGGCAGGTGCAACCTTCATGGCTGCAGGTTCTTCTGCTCCGGAGCTATTCACCTCTGTCGCGGGAGTAACCGTAGAGAGCGATGTCGGAATCGGAACAATAGTAGGGTTAGAGTAATCTTCCGTACTTTTCTGCCATAAATATGCTCGATCACTCAATTTATGAAATACAGTGTTATACATGGACTACCTGATGACACCACTGGTGAAATTCCCTCTTCTGTTTTAGGAGTGCGGTATTCAACCTTCTTGTAATCATTGCTCTGACTGCGGCCTTGGCAGGACAGGTGTGCTTAGGTTATTGATCTTTGATATAATTGTTCCGGTGATAACAGAGATGCGTGCACTTTGATTGGTCGAGGACTACGTCATATCTCGCTATAATTACCTTGCACGAGGTGATTTTAGTAAGGGTGCTAACTTTCAAAATGACTGCCCAGCGTTTTGTCAATGTTACCAAGGAAGTGGTAAACGTTATAGTAGAAAATTCCAATAATGCTGTTTAGGTAAAACATTTTTCAAAAAAAAAAAAAAATTAAGTTTTTACTGATTGAATAAAATTTACCCGTGAAACCCTAGTGGAGACTGGCTGCTTTTCTCGATACGAGTAATCAGAATAGTTGCAACAACATAACGAATTTACAACGGAATTCGAAAGCACCTGAACAATTCTACTATGGCAATTATTCCGTTCAGGCTCGGTGAATATCGTTGAATAATCCCCCTGCCTTTGTCGCGGGGATTATTTAACAATATTCATTTCGCCTCTGGCGAATAATTGTTAAACATTTGTAATATTACAAACAATTTTTTGTCATTTAGATTAATCGACAGTCAACTAATTATCACGTTAATCCTTGATTTAAGTTTTCAAATCTGTTTCCGTTTGAGTGTGTGATTCTTAGTTCGTGTGGAACTCTTTCTTAAATGGCGAGCCCACCTACTATTCATGTTAATTTGCCTTTCTTGTTGAAACAGTTTTACCATTTTTCCTGAAATCGCGAGAGTAAGAAGGCTGATTTGCATGCACATGATAATAATCTGGATTTCCATTATGAGAGGTCTATTCGTAGATTCACTATTGGTTTATTAAGAAGTCTGACACTATCAAATATTCTAAAACTATGTTTAAAAGTACTCTAGAGGCAATTCTGCGTTTTGGGTGAGCTTCAGGCACATTAAAAAATGCAGAAGTTAAAAAAAAGTTCTTTATACTGCTGTCTCAATCGTCGTGTTTTTATTTCGCAGGTTCTTCAGCTAGACTGGAGACCGCTTATAAGAGACTCTATCTGCTACGCCCTATCACTCGGATTCTTTTCTTGGTTTGCATGGGATGGCAAGTTCGAGCTATATGAGTCCATCATTCTCCTCGGTCTGTACTTTCTCTACATCGTTTTGATGAAGTTCAACACCAGGCTTATGGATCTCATGGGTGGGGCAAAGTAAGTAAGAAACTATGACAGTCTTTCATCTGAATTTTCCTTCTGAAACCGTTTGAGTATGGTACCTAATGGATAATTTTACAATGATTCACGTTTAAACTGATTCTTGTAGACAACTGGTGACATTACAATCAAGCATATCGGTGCTTGTAAAGTTTACTCAACTATAAACGTTGACCTAACCGGTTACTATAGTAATTCATTCACATGCTACTTATTTTTCGTCAAGTTGAACAATGTAACAAAAATGAGGAAAATGAACTAAAGGAAAGTAAAAGTGCACTGAAAAGAAGAAAAGTAAAAATATCAAACCGTCTGAAATCTATATAAAAAACTATTTGAAAATAGAAACTGATAAGAGAAATAATATAATAAGTATAAAAAATTTCTAACGCGGACAGCTTTATTTCTTGTTGCCTGTCTCCGTCAGAATGTTCCCAAAGGACGAAGAGCTTCCATTGGCTTCCCATACACTGTTAGTACAATTTGCTTCTCATTTTTACTGTTCTGAGCAACTTTGTAACTTACTCTTCACAAGACAAAGCAAAGATTCCATACTTAAAAACAAGCAATATTCCAACAATAAACTTTATTTCTCCACACGATAGTTCTATAACATTTTAAACTGCTTGCTCGCAACCTTCCCTCCTATCAATACTACGAAAAAATCTACACTGTTCAAAAAACAAGTATAACATAAGTTGTTAACCTGACCAATTCCTAAAGACGCGAATTTCATCAAAAAATTGCAAGACGATTGTCATAAAAATATACTTCTAAACTGTACTGGTTTTAAGTATACAAAATAATTATTTTTGTTTTAGTGAAGTAAAACGTTTCTTTAAAAAAACTTAAGTCCAGCCTGCTCACGTAAATGCATGGTTATAACAATGCTTGCTGATTTCATAAACTCTCTCGTGAAGTGGGCTTTTTGGACGGCCAAACAAACACTTTTTATTTCTATTTCAAGGCACAAGGGAGGACAAGTCAGTCCACAAAATACAGAAGTAACACAGTTTGTGAGTAGTGATATCGATGTGCAGTCAGACCACAACGCACAGAGCTCGTCTGTTGCTATTTTTCAAGGGCGGCAAGGAGTACCTGCAGGAAAGCTGCCTCCCATTAGATCGGTGGTAAGAAGCGGTCTTTAGCACAGGGATCCCCGAACAGACAACAGAGGAAATACAAATTCAACTGAGACCCACTGACACTAAGTATACTGCTGAGCTAGAAGTGCTCTCAAACATTCTAAAACGTCGAGTTTCTCTTTCAGGAAAGTAACGCAGATGAGGGTACAAACTCGAAGGTGGTTTTAACGGCTAATCTAAGTGATCAAAGGAGATTTTCACACGCCAACAAAGGACAAGTCTCTAGATCATTTGTAAGTAAACGGAAGCCTCTGTTAAGTAACACATAATTCACAACCAGTTAGTATTGTGTTCTCACCACTGACTTTCATGTCTAAAGGGACAAACCATTTCAAAGTCAAGTCTTGAGAAGCTGTTCAAGAAAGGCAATTTAAAGCGGTAGAGAGAGTAAATTTGTCCATAGTACGACAGGGTACTAGTTTAATAGCACAGTTTCGTCTAGCGGCGATAAGGACAAGCAAACAAATATGCCACGGTAGCACCGCACCTGGTTAGCTCAATTGGTTAGAGCGCCATATTGTGTTGTGCGGGAGGTCGAGGTCGATGGTTCAAGCCCCGGCCGGACCCACACTCAAGGTCTTAAAATAACTGAGGAGAATGTGCTACCTTTCTATAATAACAAGAAATGGATAGATATTCTAGTCTTCTCGGATAAGGACGAATAAAACCGAAGGTCCCGTCTCCTGCAGGGTTAGGGGTAGGAGACGTTAATTTCCCACGCACGAGATACTGTCTAGTGGATGTCCTCCCCGGGGTGGGATGGTGGGTACAAAGGGGTTAGGTGTCAATTGGGACGAAAGTTCTGTTCTTTTCTCCTGCCATTCCCGTTGCGAATAAATTGACTTCCTAAATTCCTTTATCCTCGTTTCACGCCAGTAAAAAGAAGTGGTTAGTAGTAGCAAGGAAAGCAGAATTTCGCAAATATCATAGTTGCGAAATCGGAAATGTTTGGAATAGTCTTTGTAAAAACGTTCTGAGGTTTATACTCGGCGAAGTTCATTTGTTTCCATGTAGATAGTCGAGGCAGGCAGGACGAGAGTTGGTTGTGCTTCAGGGAAAAAAAACGATTAACTGGAAACAGAAAGAAGCTTAGCGGTAGAGACAAGGATCTTAGACAGATGTACAAAAGTGTAGCCTATACAGACGCCCCTAATTCTGAAAAACAATCAGTTTGAAGGCTGAGGGCGACTGTACACAGCCTGGCTAGAAAGGAGTTTATGTTTGGTAGAAGCGTTGTAGCTAGATCTTTTGACGCGGTGCGTCAGCCTGTTATTTAAGCTTACAGAACTGAGTTGGTTACCGCTATAAAGGAATAGCATTTTACAATTCATCAAAGGGAAATTTGTAACCTTGAGTCAAAGGCTAAAACTAAAAGACAAATGGCCAAAAATAAGAGGAAAGGCCAGATGGAGGTAGTGTTTCTGTAGCTATCTGTCGAATGATACAGGAAGTTGATCATATCTGGCAATTGTTATCTAGGACGAAACTTCAAAAACAGTTGCTTAAACAAACATTCCTGTCTCTATTTTGCAATGGATGCTCGTTTCCAACCACAGATTAATCTATCCCTGGGACGCAGCCATCACTCGACGCTTCCTGTTAAGCCTCGGCTTTCAGTATCGTTTCCGGGACTAAGAGAACTTTATGACAATCCTAAGGCACATCGAAGGAGTTCTGCTGGAGTCGTTGCTCCAGGAGAGAAAATCAGACTTAAATCAGTAGCACAGAAACAAGTGATGAAAGAGTACAGACGCCGTTCAGAGATGGCTGTGAGCCAGCAGCCTACAGTCTCTGTTGTTCACGTGGACGCCAACGGAAACGCCCACACGGTACCTATAGATGATGACTCAGAGGCAAAATCTGGCGTGGACTCCAAGACTCAAGTCCGAACGGACGAGGAGAAGGAAGTAAAAATGAAAATTTGTCCATGTTTACCTGCAGTATCTGCAGAGTTCCCTGAGTACCCCGAGGAAAGAGGTGTTTTGGCCCCATTTAAGTACTTCATAGGATGGGTGTTATTTGTTGTGAGCTTTCCTTTCATCTGTATGTTTACGTGGACCATACCCGACTGTAGTAAGCCACACAATCGCAAATACTTCCTAGCATCTTTCACGATGTCTATCATTTGGATAGCTATTTTAAGCTTTGGCATGGTGACTTTGGTTGGACGATCTGGGTGCATCTTAAGCGTGGACAAATTTACAATGGGGTTAGTGGTCATAGCTATTGGCACTAGTATCCCGGTAAGTTATTGATTCCTGTGGTCACGTTTCAACTTCTAGTCTTCAAATGATTTAATGGAAAATTTCCCTTTCAGTTTTCTTCATTCAGAGAATATATAACAAATAACGCTATGAAAACATCGACGGTCGCTTAAAAAAAGACGTGCTTTCTTGTTAACGTTTTGTAAAGTGAAGCACCATTGTTCAAACCCCTGGCTTGCCACATCTCAAGACTTATCATTCGGGGGTTACCTACGAGGTTTTAATTGCCTCCGATAGTTTTGGCGTATCTAACTTATCACTTTTGAGGAAGAGAGAGACAACAGTGGCCTTATGGTCAGTGTACTGGACTCCAGGTTAAGTGGTTTGGATTCGATACTGGGATAAACTTCCGCTGGGTAGACCACTAGGTTCGAGTGCAGACTGAACTTATTTAGACTTTGTGAGAAAAGCTACCTCTAAATTGTATAAGTAAGAAAAGCTCTCAAGATAAACGAACCTGTTACCTCCTCTGATTCGGTTAGATACTCGACCTTTGTGCTAATTACAGATCAGTTTCATAACTCGACGTGAATTATTCGACTTTTCAGGATGCGTTAAGTTCCATAATTGTCGCACGGGATGGTTTTGGAGATATGGCCGTTTCAAACGCCATTGGATCGAACGTTTTTGACATCAACCTTGGTATTGGCTTACCATTTGTTATCAGGATCATGATTGATAACTTTCAACCTATCCGACTACTAACACCAAAGGAAGAGGTAAAATCAAATGGAATTTCATATCAACTCCATCAAAAGAGGGTAAAAAAAACCTGTTCTTGAAGGTAGCTTCTGTGAAGAATACACTTAACTCTTTCCTCTTCCTAGCGCCTTCCGTGGAAAAAGTACAGCACATGATATTATTTCCGAGTCTGTTTATTTCTCACTAGTGTCCTATTTGGAAATTCCATTCAATTGTTGTATTTCTTGATTTTTAACCCTCGATTAATTTTCAATCTTTATTTTCTTGCAGAAAATGCTATCTTCAGGAAGTCTTGTGATGGTACCACACGTCAAATTTGGTTTCATTTTGCTTCTCATATTGATCATAGCCCTTGGGATTTTCGCCAGCGTGCGGTTTAAATTGAACAGAAAAATCGGTATTTCATTTTTAACAATGTATATCGCATTCGTCATCTACGCTTACGTTCAAGATATGCTATGTGATTACGACTGCTGATTTAAAAAAAGGACCAGCTACCCATTTAAAATGACATTGTTACCTTAATAACTCTTTTATAGACCTATAAGCCTTTCTGTTAGAATACTTCGATTATGGAAAAAGAGAATCACTGCTATCACTTAAAACTGGACAACAGAAAGGCTAATCAAAATTTTATTTTTATGTTAAGTTCACGTTTAGAAAACGATGAGAATATCTCTAGATGAAGTTTGTACTCGGTTTCCATCGATCCTGTAATGTCTGAAACATTTACCACTTTTTTGTACGAGCATTCTTTTGACAAGGCAAGACCCATCTCTGATATCTACACAGATACTTATCATCTATTCATGAAAAGCTATCACTATTTAGGTCATCTTTATTGCAAGGGATTTAAGCAATGGCTTGTTAGACTGACATAGAGTCTCGTAGGACAATTTATCTAGAATTAGTTCTGAAATCGTTAAACTACTGCTTGAGTTCTCTAGAATACTGCTAAGGTTAAGTTATTACAATATAGTACTGACCCAGACGTTTTTGTACTCTAGATGTAAGTTGTTACGTAAGTCAGACTCCTTTTGTTACCATATGTTAAATGTTTGAAAAGTTTGAAAAGAATATTACACGAGTTTATATCTGCCGAAAAACTTTTTGTGTTGAACACATGGGGAATGGCCTATTAAGACTTTACACTTTTTTAGTAAAACAAGATAAAAAAGAAATTGCTTTTATATTCAATAAATCATACTGATACAAAAATGACTTGAATGTATTTTTATTAGAGAAAAAGGATATGGCCACAAGCATTGCATCTAGGTGGCCGCCAAAAGTTCTTGTCGCATCTTTTTTAATTTGGTTATCCAGCGAGATGTCTTGGTTTCTTCGTCTTCATGAAGCTAAATAGAAATGAAAAACACCCATGAAAAAATGTTGTTCCAGTTCAGTTTTATTAGTCTTTAAATGAAGAGTGTATCTATAACATTGTAAAATATTTACCATAAGGATCTTAATTGAGCTTAAAGAAACAAAGCCACACCATAGGTTGTTTTGTTGCAAAACTTTTGGACAACTTAAAACATTCATAACTGTACATCTGTGTACAGTCACTCTGCATGAATGCTACATTAATAGTGAGTTACATGCTCAACAGTCTATTTAGAAAGAGAAACTTTGGTGCAGTAAGTCGAATGAGTTCTTTTTAAAATAGATTGTGTTCTCAAGCATACAGTTACAGACACTGATGATGCAGACAAAAGTTTCTCTCATCAATAACCTCCCAACCACGAGTATCAATCAACACATCTTAACAGAGGCCACATTATCTCACCCATGAAGCAAACAGTCCCTCCTTGTCAGAATTTTGTGATATAATTGATTGAGGAGCAGTCTTTAACTCTGTTGTAGTTACAGTAGAGGATGAAATTTCTGGCACTGCTCCACCAATACCAAACATAGCTTCTTCATGGCTACCATCAATATTTTTCCTACCCATCTGTCAGAGTAAGAAAAAGCATGAATGCTGTTAACTGTTAAGATACTAAGCAGGATTTAAGACTGTCATGAGATTGTGTTACCTGATGACCTTTGTAGCCAGAAGATGAGCTGAAGGACTGGGGCACAAATTCACTGCTTTCTATTTGTAATATCACATCTTTGTCAGGTGCTAACTCTCCTATTGAATAAAGCAGCGAATAAAGTTTTTGTCAAAGGAAAAGTAATTATTGCTGATTGACCCCCGAGACTAATAAGTGGGGATTGTGACCACTTATAAGTCTCTAACAATTTTTCTTTCTGTAAAGGTGCAAAGGTCAATATCAGAAGCAGTAGTGACACATATTTTGGTAAATAATTAGATAAATCATTTATTCACTTCCATTCCTTGCTCAGAAACATGATTTTGGAGTATCTATCTAAGTCAAAATGAGTTAAGTATATTTATTTTTGGTAAATAATTCGGAGAATAATTTCTTCAGTTCCAGCCCTTACTCAGAAACCTGATTTTGGGGTATCCATTTTAGTCACGACCTACTTAAATAATTGACCACCTTTACTGAGACTGGGGTTAAGTGTTCCCCAGTCAATGAAGTTTCCCTCACACTCATCACTTGTAAGACTTTTTACTGTTGCAGCAAGGCAAGTCTGGAAAATTTACAATAAAAAATGGTTTTAGGACTCACTTAATTCCTTGACAGCTTTATCTCTTTTGAGGATTTCATCTTTTGACTCTGTTAAAGTACAAATAATTGGAAAAGAAAAGAGTATTATCTGTTTTGTAAAAAAATGAAGTTTAAAAGCAAAGTATTTGAGCCATCACAGCTTACCTGCTTTTGCCAAAGCTTTCTTCATTTTCTGTTTAGTCTTTTCTTTTGTGAGCTTTAAGAAAGAAACAATTGAAATAAGACCTAACAATTTTTCTTTCTGTAAAGGTGCAAAGGTCAATATCAGAAGCAGTAGTGACACATATTTTGTGTACGAAAAGAAGAGAAGGCTACTCTAAACAAGAATTTGTTTTGATTGTTCAGTATTAAGGTCGGCACACACGAGGGGACTAGTCCCTGTGAGTAGTCCCAGTGACAAGTCTTTGAAGGGTTTACACGAGGGGACCGGTAGCAGGGACTAGTCCCTTAAGGCGTTCACACGAGGGCACTCAGTTGCACAAGAACATAAAAAAATTAAGAGGCAAAAGATGTTTCTTAGTCTGGGGCGTTACACGAAAACAATGAAATTTGGTAACTTTTCATTGTAGCACTATTAAACATCAACACAAATGAACTACACTTATTCAGTCGGATTATTCATGCTTTTACGTGTTCCGTTTTTGTTTTGTTTTTTTATTTTTAACAGACACAGAGTCAAATAGGGTAAAAATTCCATCAAAATGGGTCCAAGACATCTCTATATGTTTACAAAACTAGAAATAGTTTTTTTATTCTTCAGTTGTGGAAATCTAGAATTCAGGGAAAATTCATAGAAACTGCAATGTTTACAAATACCGGAAGTCACGCAATCCCTTCTTCACAGTATCTATTTTGGCGGGAAAGCAGGAAAACAAGCCGGGAATTTGTAAGAAGATGGTGTCTGGAGCTAAAGAGAAGCAAAAACAGATAATATTGCTTATGATGATGATGCTGGATGAAGAGTTGCCAGTCACTTATGCAAAACGAATGTGGGCACAGCAATGGCTCCTACGAAGAGAAGAAACAGGCGGGTTCCATACAATTTTTCAGGAACTGGCCGCTGAAGATACGCCTGGATTTAGCAAGTACACGAGGATGCTCTATCCAAAATGTGTTGCTTTAACTGAGCTGATAGCGCCATATATTAACAAGGAAGATACTTGCACGAGAAGCTCTATCTCAGCAAGCGAAAGGTTAGCCTTGACCCTACGCTTTCTCACTACAGGCGAAAGCTGTCAGTCACTTTCCTTTCAGTTTCGCATTGGAAAAGCAACTGTCAGTGGAATTGTCACAGAAGTGTGTGATGCAATTTACAATGTGCTTGGAAAGGACTTTCTTCAGACACCTCAGCAAGCTAAGACATGGTCTGAAATAGCAGAACTGTTCCATTTGAGATGGAACATACCAAATAATATTGGAGCAATAGACGGAAAACGTATTCTTATACAGAAGCCTGCTTATGCTGGTTCACACTTTCATGATTACGAAGGAAATGAAAGCATAATTGCCCTAGTTGTTTCCGGGCCAGATTATGAATGCTTTTATGTTGATGTGGGCACTAATGGAAGAAACCAAGATGGGCATGCCTGGGGCAGGTGCTTCCTTAAAAAGGCACTAGATAGTCCAGACAACCCATTAAATGTGCCACCTCCACGCCCACTGCCAGGGCGTGTGACACCAGTCCCTTTTGTTCTCACCGGTGATGAGGCCTTTGGGTTAGCAAAGTACATGCTTAGGCCTTATCCCAGCAGGAATCTCACTGTGGAACAAAGAATTGCCAACTATCGCATTTCGAGGGGTAGGAGAATTTCGGAAAATATTTTGCGAATTCTTGGAAACAGGTGGTGTTGCTTTAGAGTGCTATTTTTGTTAGCTCCATATAAAGTAAAGAGAATTACCCTGGCTGCACTTACCCTTCATAACTGGCTAAGAGCTGATACCAGTACTCGAAACATTTATTGTCCACCCACACTTAGTGACAGGGAGGATCCAGAAACAGCAGAAATTATTCCTGGGTCATGGAGAGATGACATACCAGCAGATTCTTTCCTAGATTTACAACCTTCAGTATCAAGAAATTGCTCTAGTGAAGCTAAAAATATGCGGGAAGAATTCACCCAGTGGTTTAACAATGAAGGCATTTGTCATGGCAAAGACATATGTGCCGATTGTAAACCCATTGGACATACAAAATGCATGATAAATCCTTTCATGATCACTTCCAGAGAAGTGATGAATATGTAACTTCTCCTTAGATTATCAAGACATTGTTTAACCAGTAAGTGATGAGAATTGAGACAATCATCAACTCAAGGATACTGAATTGATATACCACCAAATTCTCCATACAGAAGTGTAGGAAAGGACTTTCTTCAGACATATCAAATGAATGCCGACTGACAAGACAAAAACATGAAGAACTCAATTTGTTTATTTTTAGTTATAACATGTACAGTTACAATAAAGTAACACTTGTGGTTGTGTTATAAGTAAAAACATCTTTTCCAGTATAACCAGGTGTTTCCACCATTGCAAAATTAACAAAAACAAAGGTGAGAAAGTCCTTGAAAAGTTAAAAAACCCATTACAATGTTCTAAGTAAATACTGCATGAACAATAAAAAGGTTGTTAAGTTTTCAGGCCACTGGCTTGCAACTGCCAATAAACATACAAACTGAACTTCAGCACCAGTGCATAGATATTTGGCTAACTTATATTTTGGTTTTACTGAGCACACTTAAACTCTATGAAAAACAAAATTGAACCATTTTAAATCAGCATCATGGTTACCATATGTCAAAATTCTTCACAAACATACTGTCAGCAAAAGTATCCAATAACCTTAAATGCCTGATGATTCTAACTATTAATGATTCTCCACAAGTTTATAATCATGGTGTTAAATACATTAGGACAACAGTATAGCCTGCACACCAGCAAACCATATTTCTTAAAACACAATGAAAATTGAACATTTATACCAAAAGAAAGCCACATCTTTGCATCTTAGTGTCATGCCATGACATGCTATGAATTCAATAATTTTTAATTGCATGTTTTCGTGGAGAACAGGGATGGCTTTGAATGAACAAAGGAATATAGATCTGTAAATTAATAATATTCCATGGCTGCATGGCTGTAAGAATCCATTTGCATGTTTTCATGAGCAACAGGGATGTTAGGTTGAAAATTACTGGCTTCACTTGAACTGTAGGAAGCCATAGATGGGGCAGGGCTGTACCTACCAAGTGTAGCAAATTGAGTAGGGGCACCACTAGCAACCTCCATATCATCACTTTCTTCTATCTGAAATAATATATCATAATTTTTATGCACTTCTTTGCCCTGCGAAACTTTCTTTGACTTAATTGTGACAAGCTTAAACGTACATAATTTGCAAATGCTGCAACTTCACTATTTTCAACTGAAATATTTTGTTGTTTATGCTTTTCAGGCTGTTTCATAGCCATCACTGCTTCTGAAAACAACTCTAGTTTTCTATTTTCTTGGTCATCCCTTTGCTGTTGTTTTGAAGCTTTTCTAAAAACTTTCGGTTTTGAAGATTCTTCAATAATCAACAGTCTCATCTGTATCATCACAGACAGCAGTGAGGAACTTCAATTGACTATAAAATTCCCAGGCTGGAGTGTAGATGTCAGTTGTGCCACTTCCAGATGGCTTTACAGATGCCTTAGAATGCTCTAATTTCAATTTTTTGACAAGCTCTTTCCACTTTTTCTTGATATCATCAGCATCATACTTGTCCACAAGGTCTTTCATAAGCATGTCATACAGCAAATCCTTGTTATTATTCTGGTGATACTGGGGATTGTTGTGGTTCCAAAGGGATTCATTGCCTTGATAGAATGCAATGAGAGTTTCTAAGAAGAGAAATATAGATTTGAATACACAATGAATCGATAACATGCTAAAATTATTTGACATAATTAAAATAATTTAGAATTGGAAACAACTTAACAAAGTTTATACACAATTCTACATTAAGTTATATTTTGCCTAAATTATGTAAACCAAATTTCAGCATAAGATGAAGAAGGGACTTCTGTTCAAAGGTATACACAACATGCATAGAACCATTCAGCTACATCTAACCACTCAACATAGCCACCACCCAAAAAGGCAAAGGAAAGTGGTCCCCTACTAGATAAGGTAGACGGAAATTAGGGTGTATATATAAGAATGGATTATAACAACTGTACACACATGTACAACTGAGGTGGTTAGTTAAGTTGGTGGTAGTCAGGGACATTTTTAGTACTAAAAGTTGATAAGTGGATTAAGAGAAGAAAGTCACTGACAGATCCACTGATTGACTTGAAATTTGGGAAATACACTAACCAATCTGTGGTATTTGAAAAATTACCTATTTGTTGGTCGCTCCATTCCTTTTCACTTTCCATTCTCCCTACAGTCACAGTTTCTCTTAGAAAAAAAAATAAATCAGACCAGTACACCTACTTGATATTCTCTTGTTAGGAAGGTGATTTCTTCATGTACCTTAAGAGCCATGCTTCTAAGGCCATGCCAATGTTTCTTTATGTCGTTTAGGCTTCGAGGAGGACTTGCCTTCTGTAACTTTGCTTGAAGAGGCGATAGCACTTTGTTCATTTTGGTTTTAGTTACTTGACAGTTTTTATCCCAAAGAACTCTGTTCTTCTTATAAAATTAAATAAGAATTCTTGTTCTTGAAACACTCCACAGTACTCCTTGTTCTTCCTCATCAACATGCCCTTTGACATCAACATCTTCCTCTTGCACCACCATTTTGAAACAAAGTGCGTAGGGAATTATGAGAGCTTATCATACTGACCCATGATTGGCTTATTTACCGTTTAGTGGCAGGGAGTGGTCAGACAAACAGTTCACATGAAGGGACAAGCATTTAGTTTCATGCGACAAGTCTCTGCGACTGTTTGCACGAATTCAAACCAGTTTGAATTCGTGCGACCACAGAAATGTGTAGTTCACATGAAGGGACTAGTTGCATGAAACTGGTCGCTGGGACTAGTTGCAGGGACTAGTCCCCTCGTGTGTGCCGACCTTTATAGAAAGGGTTTGAAGATCAAGTATCCCACATAATTTGGATTTGCCCTGGTGTCACTCCCTACACTACATTATAAAGTAGTTATTGTTATAAAATTTCCCACTCACTTTTCTGCAATTAAAGAGAAGATATGAAAATCACATTTTTGAACTGCAGAGTTAAGGTGATTCCTCAGTATTGCATTGTGCATCCTAAACTGCACATAAAAATCATGTAATCAGGCGAATAAGCATCCGTACATTCCGAGAACACAGTATTGTTAGTCAATCAATGCACTGGGTAAAAAGGAGCAATGGTCTTTGGCTCTTGAAAAAGCACAGTGACCTAGATTTTTTGTTGCATAATTTTGATGTGCAAAATTATCCCCTTTGAATAGGAGAAATTAAATAGAATTATCAAAGGGAAATAAAACTATAGCTAATAGTGTGAATGAAACCAGTCATTTGGTGATATAAATTAAGACCCTGAGCGGTCTTGAAAACAATAACTTGAGGAATATTTTGAGTTGATGTTGTTGAAATTGCCTAATTTTTCCCAAATTGTGTATCAAATTGCTCCATACCCTCCACACTTCTTATCGAGTTTTTTCAAGTGCTACTTAGGAAACCCTTGCTTCCAGCTACCACAAAATATACCCTGAACCCAATGAAATGTCATCTATAATTAGTGCTAGTAAAGGCATAATAAATGAGGTAAAATTGGCATGTCATATCTCTTAACCAAGCAACACGACCTATCTTTTTATTGTATTTTTCAAAACAGGCATATGCAGGGAACATTTGAGAAAAGTATAAAAAATATTGTTCAAGAACTTGTTTTTTCCGAGGAATCATCTTCAGATGGTAATGAAAGGACAATCATGACAGGTCGACAGACCCCCAGCAAGAGAAGATTAGCCTTTACTTTCAGTACGTTAGTTGTGTTAGAATATCACTATACGTCTGATGCACGATCCTTCGCTATAGATAGCGCTATTTATGCAATAGCAAAAATCAGACCTGAAAAAAAATCAGGCCTGTACGGGATTCGAACCACTGACCTCTGCGATACTAATGCAGTGCTCTACCGATTGAGCCAACAAGCCAACTGGGAGCAGGCCGTTAAGTTGATTCGTAATAAACCCGTGATGATAAATCAGATACAATGAATATATGAACTTCATATATTCATTGTATCTGATATATATCTGATATATATATTATCTGAATATATGAACTTCATATATTCATTGTATCTGAAATATCACTATAACAAAAAAACATTTGATCATTTAACATGTGTTTTAAAAACTCTTACTTGTGAACTTGAATCCCTACACAAACAGAGAAAAAAATACTATTAGTAACTGTCCATTCTATCTACTCTTGGTACAAGCAGGATACAGTTTTGCAGTCTTGTCCGATTCAACAAAAAAGCTGAGTGTACACTCTGTTATCTTTTTATCACCTTTTTGTTGAAAAAAATTTACTATGTAAGCCTTGCTCATATGTCATTTGACCAACCTCATGTGATTGGCTTCTAATGTAAGAATCCCTTACTTTTTATCTTTCCTACTTCTTCTCTTGTCACCATTACTGGAACTACTGCTAGTGCTTCTACTGCTACTTGATCGACTAAACCGGTGATCTGTAGTAGAATAATGATGATAATAGATTGTAAAGGTCAAGGTTATGTGGTCTTCCATGTTGGATTTGCATTAAAAATGTCATGGAGCTGGGGAATGGGGGTGTGTCTGAGAAGGGGTAACAAGCAGCATGTTCCTTATGTCTCTATTTGAGCTGATTACTCTTCAAGAAAAAAGAACAACCAGCACTCAAAAGTATTTAAAAAATTTCACTGATTTCAGATACTGCATACTTTGTTTATAATCTAGTGTGGTTTTATAATATGTCGACGAAATGAATGCACTTTTAAGGTTAAACCAAGTGAAATAAATAATAAAGTGTCCTTACCACTTTCACCTCTGTAAATG